AGCGGCCCCGGGCAGCCCCGCGGCGCCTCCGCGCTCGCGCCGTGGCCCCCGCGTCCCGGTGCCCGGCCCTGGGTGCGCTGCCGCCTAGGGGGGTTGTTTGAGCGTTGCGGGGTTATATATTCGAATATCTGGGTTTCCGTGTGGAAAACGTACCCCCCTGGAAGAACGGGGCAGCGCTGAGGTCACCCGCACCCCTTGTGCGTGCTGCATGGTGTGAGCAACCATGTTGGCCTACACCCAGCTGCCAGGGCCCTCCAAAGGTTTCTGCGTCTCTCCAAGGGTTTCTGCAGAACCAGATGCAATCTGTGCACACACAACCACCGTTGTGCTTTGGCCTTGCCAACTGTCCAAATGGCCTCTTTCCAAAGCATGGAAAGAGAGCACTAGTGCAGAGTCAGAGCAAGGGTCACCTCTCTAAGCAAACAGAGGTTTTGTAGAGAGCTGGGTGGGTGTTGTTTGGCGTTATATTTTCCCTGTCACCATTTTGCAACAAATGCTTCTTTATTACAAAAAAAAAAAAAATGCACCAAGATTTGCCATAAGTTAAACATGTTCTGCTTTCCATGCACTATTAGCATTGAACCAAAGGGAGTGGACTGGATACTCTGGCTTCTGACAACTGAAACGTGATCTAAATCCATTTGTCCAATAATGGCAGCAGTATTGCCTTTCTGTAAAATACCAAGACTGCAATGGTATTTTTTTCAGACATCAGACATTCAAAGCTCTTTTCAGGTGATGCTCCCAGGATGAGCAATTTAGAATATATTTCACGCCTTATTTGCTACTTCTCTGCACATAATAATAAACTCCAAGAAACTAGGCAAGTTATAGGGACAGAATAAACATGTGAAAGCTGAATAGAAATAGACACCAAACCAAAAATCACTTACCTTCTAGCATTTTAGTAGGCACAATCTTCTTTATAAAGATACGCATAAGTTCATTGTTTGGAGAAATTTTTAATTAGGCATACAAAATGGGAACTAAAAACTTAGGATTGGAATTAATACAGCTTGTTAAGTCCATTGTTTTCCTAGATAGACTTTTTTCTTCCCTTTTTTTTTTAATAAATTTGTCTTTTTTTTTCCAGTCGGGTTTACATACTTCTGCAGAGTTCATCCAGGCAAAGAGCGGCTATTTCTGAGCGCTTGCTTAGCCCAATCAACACCCAAGCAAACATATTTCAGTGTGAAAAGCTGCAACTGCCCTGGCGCTGTGTTCGCCCTCGAGTGTCCTGGGGCCATTGGGAGACATCCCCCAGGCCCAAGGGGAGGTCTTTCCTCGGTTCATAGTGTGAGATGGGGCTCACCTGGCCTGAGTGCCCAGGCGATTTGACGGAAGAGGGGAACGGCAGACGCCCTTTGAGTAATTTCCGCCCCACAATGTAGACAACTGCAAATGTGTGAAAGTAGAATTTGTGCTTCGATCCGCTGCGCTAACCCTGCCAGTCACTCCTAACTTCAAGTACTGCCAAATCTGGACAAGATTTTTTGTGCAAAGCAAGAAAGGTTAAAGCAGCACCCAAGTGCTTTGCTTTGAAAACATGTCTGACCAGGACTAGGACTCCCTGAGCTATTCAAAGGGCTATGAAGCCCGTCATGTTCTGTGTATTATATCTTTCAATTTCTAAATCAGTCTTGTCAAGACAGGAGACGTTTTGTTCTTATACGTGCTGGAGCCTCTTTCACAGTTTTCTATTGCAGAGACAATATTTTGTTCTTCCTTGATACTTGCCCTAACCTGAAATACGTTATCAGCACAAAGTTGCACATATAAATAAAGAAATAAATTGCTCTTTTGTCTTTTTATTTTCTGTTTCTAAATTTTGTAAATGAAAGCAACTAGCAGGCAACCAATAAAAAGGTTACTACACTATCTTTTTTCAGTTTTATTCCTACTATATATTTCAGTTGGATTTGGCCAACTGAAATATTTTATGTTGTATGATGTAAATGAGTAATTTACCAGTTGTGAGATAAACTTTGATTAAACTCTTGATAAACTTTTTATGATCCAATCTTTCTTTAATAAAATAAAATAAAATAAAATAAAATAAAATAAAATAAAATAAAATAAAATAAAATAAAATAAAATAAAATAAAATAAAATAAAATAAAATAAAATAAAATAAAATAAAATAAAATAAAATAAAATAAAATAAAATAAAATAAAATAAAATAAAATAAAATAAAATAAAATAAAATAAAATAAAATAAAATAAAATAAAATAAAATAAAATAAAATAAAATAAAATAAAATAAAATAAAATAAAATAAAATAAAATAAAATAAAATAAAATAAAATAAAATAAAATAAAATAAAATAAAATAAAATAAAATAAAATAAAATAAAATAAAATAAAATAAAATAAAATAAAATAAAATAAAATAAAATAAAATAAAATAAAATAAAATAAAATAAAATAAAATAAAATAAAATAAAATAAAATAAAATAAAATAAAATAAAATAAAATAAAATAAAATAAAATAAAATAAAATAAAATAAAATAAAATAAAATAAAATAAAATAAAATAAAATAAAATAAAATAAAATAAAATAAAATAAAATAAAATAAAATAAAATAAAATAAAATAAAATAAAATAAAATAAAATAAAATAAAATAAAATAAAATAAAATAAAATAAAATAAAATAAAATAAAATAAAATAAAATAAAATAAAATAAAATAAAATAAAATAAAATAAAATAAAATAAAATAAAATAAAATAAAATAAAATAAAATAAAATAAAATAAAATAAAATAAAATAAAATAAAATAAAATAAAATAAAATAAAATAAAATAAAATAAAATAAAATAAAATAAAATAAAATAAAATAAAATAAAATAAAATAAAATAAAATAAAATAAAATAAATTAAAATAAAATAAAATAAAATAAAATAAAATAAAATAAAATAAAATAAAATAAAATAAAATAAAATAAAATAAAATAAAATAAAATAAAATAAAATAAAATAAAACACAATACTTGGCGCACGATCCATATAGGAATTCTTAAATCTGAAAAATGGTTTTTGAGCCTAGGCAGTGGTTTGTGTCATATCACACTTGTTAAGTGCTATGCAAATAGCTGAAATATGCTGCAGAATTGGTTATTATTTTAGCAAGAGAACATTCAGCTTTGCTTGCAGGGTAGCTGAGACGGTGCTTTGGGATTAAAATAGTACAAAGTCATCACTTTGCTAGTCATGCTGAAGTGTGTGAAGGAGAACACGTGTGATTCAAGAGTTCTGAGGCTTCTCATACAAAATGTCTCCTAGAAGCGTTCGTTCAGTTAGACAGAAATCCACATTTTCATAGGAATGTGTTGCAAGAATGCTCTGTTCTGGGATCAGTCAATTGTTCAGGACCATGTGGTTCAATGAAACATGCAAGAAGCCTTGGAGGAGACAATTATGGAATGCATTTTCAAGACCGACGTGTCTATTATAGGAAGTATTTTAAAATATCAGACATGTTAAATACTTCTAAATTGAAGAGCCTGGCAGGATGCTGCAAATCAGTTA